AGCGCGGGAGCTCGTGCCGTTGTGACGGGGCGAGGAAGGCGCGTGGTTAGTCAGCGCTGTGTCGCCCAGCCCGTGCTCAGCGGGGCCCGGGGCGAGGGCCAGTTGGACAGACGGGGCCCCCCGCCTCCAGGAGCTGGGGTCTGGGGAGAAGCTGCTGACAGCCCGCGGTCACCACAGCTCCCCGGGCTATCCCTGAACTGTCCCTCCTCGCGGGCAGCACCCCGAGGGCAGGAGGGAAAAGACCCTTGTCGCCCCCGTGGGGACCTTGGCGTCCTAGGAGGTGGGATGTGAATTGCAGAGGGTCCAGCACAGAGACAGGGGTTGGGTTGGGAGCCGTCACACAGATGATAAAGGTCACGCCGCCCCTCCCAGCCAGGGCATCCGCTCGCTGGGACCCCGCACGTGGCGTGGTGCCTGGCACAGGGCCAGTGGACCAGCTCCTGGCGCTGCCAGAACCACGGCCACAGGCTGGGAGGCTTAAAACCACAGATTCATTCTCTCCCAGGGGTCAGGGGCCCGTCGAAGGCTCTTGGGGAGGATCCCCGGCCTCTCCCAGATCCGGCGGGGCTTCCTCGCGTTCCTGGCTCACGGCTGCGCTACCCCTCCTGCCCGGTCCTCACGCGGGTCTGTCCTGTGTGTGTCTGTGTCTACTTCGCTCTCCTCTCGCGTGCTATCAGGGCACCAGCCGTCGGGTTTGGAACCCACCTCCTGGTGTGACCACCTCCGCACACACCGACTCCGCGCTCGGACACGTGTGCACACGGCGTGTGGGGGCACATCGGCCGGCGCAGGTCGTGCTGAGGGTTGAACGGTCCCGGTCCCCTTTCTAAAAAGGACTGTCGCTCTGTCTTCAGCTACGTGAAAGGCATCTACTCGTTCGGGTTGATGGAAACCAACCTCTACGACCAGGCGGAGAAGCTCGCCAAAGAGGTGGGTGGCTCCCCGAGGTGCCGGCCTCAGGGCTGGCGTCCGTGGGGCAGGGGCACGAGGACCCGCTCATGGGTGGCCCCGGCCAGGTTCCCCCTCTGCGCCTGTTTCCTCGAGGATTCGGGGGGAAGGGCTTGTGGTGACAGCAGCTGCCACCGGTCACAGCGCCTCCCGCGGTCCGGTCTGCGGAGCCACGAAGCACAAACTACCTCCACAGGCGAGGAAGGCGAGCGAGGCCAGGGAGGCCGCCCCTCCGGTGGCACAGAGGGCGGCCCTGGCACCACTCTGTCTGCCTGCAGAGCCCGCCTGACCCTGCGGGAGCCAGAGCTTGGGAGGCCGGGAGCGTATGGAAATGCGGGCGCTCCCACCTCGGACCTCACTACTGTCACTAATGTCACTCGGGGAGTTGAGCCGCAATTGGAGCGGAGGCTGCTCTGGTGGCCCTGGCTGGGGGCTGGGGGCAGGGTCCCGCGGCCAGCCCTTCCCTTGGGCGCGCCCTGGCGGTGGGAAGACAGCTGGGTGGTCCCGGGCCAGCGCTCAGTCCCATCTGTGAAATGGGTGTGACGGCCCTTGGTAGCTGCAGGGGGTCAGCAGGTCCGGCCTTCGGGCCATTCTTGTTTGAGGCTGAGCCCAGTCCCCACGCCGGCCCTGCCCGATGCCCGGCCTCCAGCTCAGGCCGCGTGTGTGGAACTCGAGCCGCAGCCTGACTGATCCGCCCCCGTCTTTCCCGCCCCCCAGGCGTTGTCTGTGACCCCCACGGATGCGTGGTCGGTGCACACTGTGGCCCACATTCACGAGATGAAGGCGGAGGTCAAGGCCGGGCTGGACTTCATGCAGCGCTCGGAAGCCCACTGGAAGGTAGGCGTCGGGCCGCGGTCACCTGCCCGGGCGACCCCGTCCCCCCGAGCTGAGCCGGGCATCGTGGACAGAAGTTACGGTGCAGCTTGGTCGCAGGGAACTCGTGTTTGGGGAGGCGTTTCTGTCCGGCCACAGTGTCCCCTGGGCCAGTCAGTGTCTTGCAGGTGACTCTAGAGTCGGTCCTGGCCTGAGGCATTTGGGGTAAAAGGAATGGACAGGAAGTGCCCAGGGAAAGAGCCTGGCACAGGCGGGAACCGTGAGGGCTCCGCATGGCAGCCAGGAGTGGGCTCAGGGAGCGCCGGGCCGCAGGGCGTGGGTGATGGCGAGGGAGGGTCTGCAGGGCTGGCCTGGGGTGGGCGTCCTGTGAGGCAGGGCTGGACCTCCCTGCCCCCTCCCGGCGTCCCGGCCGTGGTGGCTCAGAGGGTGCCCTCCTCCTCCATGTGCACCTGTCGTCCTGGGCTTGCGTCTGGCACAGCCTGGCCACCTGTCCAGGTGCGGTGGCTGCCCTGCCCTTCTCTTTGCCGTGTGGGTTCCCCAGGGCGCCGCTGGCCAGGACAGAGGGTCTCTGCCTGGGCTGGACCGAGCGGCGGGTGCTCAGTGACCGCGCAAACCGCGGAAGCACCGGGAACCAGGCGCAGGTGGCTGCGTCCGTGGCGGCTCCCCGGCCTGGGACGTGCCTGTGGGAAGGACAGGTGGCCCCTGACTCCCGAGGATTAGCATTAGGGTGTGTGTTTTTATGGGGCCATGGAGCCTTATTGATTTATCCTTGTTGTTGTTAATCCTCCCCCGAGGATATTTTTCCATCAATTTTTAGAGAGAGTGGAGGGAGGGGGAGACAGAGAGAGAGAGAAACATCGATGTGAGAAAGACATCGATTAGTTGCCTTCCACACGCGCCCGACCAGGGCCGAGGTGGAGCCTGCAACTGAGGTAGGTGCCCTGGGCCCTGAGTGGAACCCCGGACCCTGGGCCTGCGGCTGGCGCTCACCCACAGAGATACGCGTGATAAAGCTCATGAGACGCTGGCACTTGATCGGAGAACAGGTTCGTGTCGGTGGTCGCCCGAGCGCGGGCTGAGGCGGTCCCCGGGCACCTTTAGGGTGGGCCGCGCTGAGCCGGGGGCCGGGGGTCAGTGCGTGGGATACATGCGTCTGACGTCGGGCGTTTCCGACGGAGGGTGGAGTCCTGGTGTGACCGCCGTCCGTCAGGGGCCTCGGTGACGACAGGGGGCGACCCGGGTTCTCGGCAGCGGTGCGGGCGGCAGGCGGACGTGACGGTGAGAGCTGTGAGCCCCTGCGCTCACACTCAGGTCTCCGAAGGGCCCCCCAGCTCCGGGGACGGGAGAGCCTGGGGGCCCCTGCGGGACCTGCCTGGGGCTCCCCACACAGATACTGACTGCTGGTTCCGGGGAGCCCTGGGTCTGGGGGTGGGGGAGCAGCGTGCAGCCCCTCCCGGCTGGGCCAGGCTTGTCCAGGCAGAACGGAGGGAGGCGGGGGGTGGAGGGGCCCGGCCGCGGCGTTCAGCTCCTTCCGTGCACATGTCTCCCGAGACCCTGCTTTGCTGGCCTGGCTCTGTCCTGGGCGTGAACGTGACCGTCCGAGCCTCGGGGTCCTCCTCTTACACCTGCTGCGGTGACAGCTCTGAAGCCCTGGCCCCACGCGAGCTCCCTTGGGTGTCGGTTCCAAACATATAAGATGAGGCGGCTCGGGCTCCTGGGGTCGACTCCCGACCGGCTCGCGTCACCTGCCGTCTGCGTCTGTCCCCTGCCGTGTCTGCGGGCGGCCTCCGGCCTGGCCGGGCAGCTCTGGAAGGGAGAGTGTGGCCTGGGATGCGCTTTCCTCCTCCAGCCACTGTCCCCGGCTGTGCTGGCCCCGGGGACCCCGCTGAGAGCCCAGCCTGGACTTCTCTGTCCTCAGGAGACCTGGTCAAGCCCAGCGAGCAGGCTCCCGGCAGCCCACGGGCCACCCAGGCCAGGGCCTGCGGGGGAGTGAGCACCCAGGGAGGCATCCGACCGAACTGGGCTTGAGGGGACGTGGTCAGGGAAGGCTTCCTGGCGAAGGCAGCCTTTGAGCTGGGTGATGAAGGATGTGTAGGAGTTTGCAGGTGAAGGAGGGGGAGCAGGGCGGTACCCCAGCCAAGGGCCAGCCTGAGCAGAGACACCAGTTGGTAACTGATGGAATTACACATCTCCGTTGTCTCTGAAACCCCAGGGACGGAGAGGGGTCGGCAGCTTGCGTCCTCAGCACAGGTGCAGAGAGGCCAGGGGCCATGGAGGGGCTGCCAGGCCCTTTCCAGGGGATGGAGGTGGTGCCCGCGAGGAGGAGGCGGCTGCACGGCAGGCGGTAGAAGGAAGGGCTGGCGTCCAGGCGTCCACCTGCCCCCCTGCTGGGGGCTCACCAACCCCTGTAGGAGTTCCCCGTCTCCCTGGCCCTGGCGGCTTAGTCAGGTGCCCTGCACAGGTGGACACGGTGGGCCCTGCGCAGGGTGGACACAGTGGGCCCTGTGCTGGGTGGACACAGTGGGCCCTGTGCTGGGTGGACATGGTGGGCCCTATGCTGGGTGGACACAGTGGGCCCTGTGCTGGGTGGACACGGTGGGCCCTGTGCAGGGTGGACACGGTGGGCCCTGTGCAGGTGGACACGGTGGGCCCTGTGCAGGTGGACACGGTGGGCCCTGTGCAGGTGGACACGGTGGGCCCTGTGCTGGGTGGACATGGTGGGCCCTGTGCTGGGTGGACACGGTGGGCCCTGTGCAGGTGGACACGGTGGGCCCTGTGCTGGGTGGACACGGTGGGCCCTGTGCAGGTGGACCCCGGCTCCCTGGCCCTGGGGGACACGGTGGGCCCTGTGCAGGTGGACTGGGTGGGCACTGTGCTGGGTGGACACGGTGGGCCCTGTGCTGGGTGGACACGGTGGGCCCTGTGCAGGTGGACACGGTGGGCCCTGTGCTGGGTGGACACGGCGGGCCCTGTGCAGGTGGACACGGTGGGCCCTGTGCTGGGTGGACACGGCGGGCCCTGTGCAGGTGGACACGGTGGGCCCTGTGCTGGGTGGACACGGCGGGCCCTGTGCAGGTGGACACGGTGGGCCCTGTGCTGGGTGATTTCCTGTTCACTTCACCCCACACACAAGGCAGGTGGGTGAGGAGCTGGGTGACCCCTGCTCCTCTGCCTCCTCGCTCGGGCTGACCCGTGGCTGGCTCCCCAGCCTCAGGCTCCTCAGCAAGCGCAGGCATCGACCCGCCGTCCCTGGCGCTGAAGGAGGCGGCGTGGGAACGCGGGCTCAGACCGGCCTCGCGGGGCGCCCGGGAAGTGTTCCCACACTCCAGGGTGTGGGGTCTACAGAAGCCAACATCCGGGCCTTTCTCCCAGGGGCTGTGGGACGTTTCCGATTCTCTCCTCTCTCCCCAGGGCTCGGACATGCTTGCTTGTCACAATTACTGGCACTGGGCTTTGTATCTGATTGAAAAGGTAAGACGCCTGGCGTGTTTCCCTCGAAGCTGTTTGGAGAGAGACACGCTTTTCCGCCCTTCGCTGCCCTCACGTCCCGCGGAGCCCTACTGTGTGTTTGCACATTTATTTATTTACTATCCTCACCCCAGGATATTTTTCCCATTGATTTTTTTTTTTTTTGAGAGTGGAAGGGAGGAAGGAGGGGGGAGAGAGAGACACATCGATGTGAGAGAGACACCTCGATCGGTTGCCTTCCATTTGCACCCTGACCGGGGCCGGGGATCGAGCCTGCAACCGAGGTACACGCTCTGGACGGGAATTGAACCCGAGACCCTTCGGTCCACGGGCCGATCCCTCCCCACCGAGCCAGGCCGGCCGGGCTGTCCCCATGTGGGAGAGGCTGCGTGGTTTTGATAGCTTTTCAGGCCTGAACCACCCCCCGCACCGGCACCGCCTGCACTTGGAGACCAGCCGTGTCGTGTGCAGCCTGCGGCCACACCTCGGACCAAGTGTCCCTGTTGCTGGGTGACCTGCTGAGCCCAGGACGCTCCCGATGCGTTGCCCCAGGGGAGCCAGGAGGGGGGACGCCTGGTCCCCACTGGGTCTGCCACTGGCTCCACTCTAAGCTGCTTCTCAGAGAGACTGTGGACGCCCCCTAAGTGCCCGATGAGGAGTGCTGGGGAGACGGACCGTGCGGGGACACGGAGCCCACGGTGACACGCTGCCCTGCGGGAGCGGTGATCGCAGCCGCGTGTGCAGGGAGGAGCGCAGAGAGGAGACGAGGGGGTACAGGAGGGAGCTGGCCGCAGCTGGACAAGCGCTTGTACGAAGAATGTGCTGTGACAAGCGTCCCCTTAGCAGCGAGGCTGCGTCCGTCTCCCGTGACCGGACGCGCAGGCCAGGGCAGAGGCGGCCGAGCTCCCCTCCCCAGGTCCGCACCAGGCTCGCCCACCCCTCCGTAGCGCGGGGACCTGGGCGCGGCGCGTTCCCGGTCATTCCTCCGGTCACACCTCACCCTCTGGGCAGTAACCACGGAACTTCACTTTTCCAGGGCGAGTATGAGGCCGCGCTGACCATTTACGACGACCACGTAAGTCCCTGTTTGCACACGGTTCGGTTTATTGCGGCAATTTGGCTTTTAGTCTCTAGACCTTTGAGCCCATCACGGCTGCCCCGGCCAGAAACAACCGACCGCTGGAGCGGAACAGTCTGTGTCAGACCCGGTCAATGTCCCTGGGCCGCGTGGCGGGGTGAAGACGGTTCGGCAGTGCTCCCTGGCGGGCAGTGGTGGATACACCTGGTGGTCTCTGAATCCCAGCCTCTCTCATGATCCGATAGGATTTGAAATACAAAGAAACAAAAACACCCAACCGGAAAAGCAAAATGAAAAAAGAATCCAAAAATATGAAGATAGTGTAAAGAGCCTCTGGGACAGCTTCAAGCATACCAACATCCGAATTATAGGGGTGCCAGAAGAAGAGAGAGAGCAAGATATTGAAAACCTATTTGAAGAAATAATGACAGAAAACTCCCCTACC